GATGGTTCGGCATACGTAACACATGTCCCAACTAACGCAGCTTCTGGTGCTGGACACATTCTTCAATTAAAGTACCCATTACACAACCGAAAACGCACTTTCTAACCGCCCGATTATGGATTCGCCGACATCAACCCACGCGAGCTATGGTTCTGGGACAACGATTGTCGTCTCAGTTCCGCTGCCCGAACGGGCCATGTCTCACATTCATACAAAAAAACAGTCCGTACTGTAGCTTGATAAACATGTCCCTTCAGATTCAGGGATAAACCATTCTGACGCCATAGGTGTCTCAAGTTAGCAAACGCGGCCCGAGCCTTCGAGATTCGTGCATTCACCTCATCTGCCCCACTATAGTCAGAACTAATACAACTTCCAAGGTACGTAAAACGCTCCACAACTTCCAGTACCTCTCCCTGGATTGTAAGTGGCGTGTTCAGTGACTGCACGTCCACAAGCATGAACTTACACTTTGTGGGTGAAAAGTTCATACCAAGGGACATGATGACTTCAGTCAGTTCATCGAAAAACACTTGCTCTTTCTTCTCTTTGAAGATGAGAACGATGTTGTCTGCATACTCCAGATCGACAGCGGTTTCTTCATAGGCTATTTGAATACCAGGGTTTTCGAAACCTTCCAGCGTTTGTCTGATTATCACCAATCACGAAGCTAAGAAGGGACGAAGAGAATGGGCATCCCTGGCGGACAATACTTTGTGTACGGGAGCTCTTGGAGAACTTTCCGTTCACTCTCACATTATATAACTTAATATTTGATGACGTGTCTGGCGTAAATGTGCGAAAGCCGTATCAAACGAGACCGTTCACCGATGCACAACGCTTCTTGAAAATCTCTACAGGTGCTGATGAAAGAGCTGCAAACCCGCTCGCCATACTATCGACGTCGATGTATACTTTGTAATAAAAGGCATCATACCGTTGTCAAATAACTCGTCCACATTGCTGTAAACTGTCGTCTGGAATATCAACAAACAGTGCTATTTAAAAAAAACACATTTCAAAATTCTCATTGTTCTTCCATCTTATCGGTCGTCAACTAAATAAGTGGTTGGCGTCAAACGACCTGATCGTACTTGATGCCTAGATGCATGTGGTTAGAACCAGCAGCCTTAATACACCAAAGCAGCCCACCAAATTCTCTTATTGATGCTTTTTATAGCATTTAGATGCGCCTACTTAAAGCCACCCCATAACTGCATGGTTTTGTGTTGCTTATGGACTGCAGGGGATGTCAGATACACATCAATACCGCAATAAATAGCCCGTCATGTACACCTTATGTGTATTTCAATAATCCATTCGACCTTTCTGAAACAAAGGCTCGAATATTTGCATCACTCAAGAATAATTTGATAAAATGAAGTCACCTGCATTTCATTCCGTTCGATCCTTTCCACTGAATCTAAATTGGGGGAATGGAACATGAGTTTGTAAAACATTGTTTCTGTACTTCATACAATTTTAAAACTGGATATTCTTGTCCTATTCTGCACAAACTAAACTAAGTGCATGGGATCTTACACAAATACATTAGATGTGCAACAAAGCAACTTCAAGTTTGTCTATCTCATTGGTTGATTGGAAGTATTTTTCCAGGTTGAGGGAGTCTAACTCCACCACATGTTCTTCACTAACCCGCAGCAGGGTGATTTAATGGCTCCTGGATGACCTGTTTGTCAAACTTCCAGCCATCGAAATGCCTCGTCTTCTGGCCAAATAATCACGTGATCCCAGTCTGCATTTATGCAATAGGCATAAATGTTAACTTGGTGTTTATTCCTGATACAGTTTATTTGAACGCTTATCTGGAGGTTTTTGACTATGCGAAAGTCCAAATATTTACCTAGCTGAATTGAGCTCACGTTTTAGAGACCTTTACTTGGCCTTTTTTAAACTCATTTCCAAGGTAAAAATGAGATAAGTAATAAGCGTTCTGATTTTTTTCGCAAGCACAATAATAAAGGTAGGTTTTTGCCGTTTACAATGGTGATTCCCTAATAACCTAATGATTTTTTTTGCCGCCTAAACCACCTTCAGGTAACCAAAATGTGTTTTTAGGATCATGAAGCATAATTTCGCTTCGGAGGATAAGTGGAGTTCTTCTTGCGTTCTCATACAAACATCGCTAGGTTGGTTAACGTTCCAAGAAACTGTAGCTTGACTCTGGGTAGAGGTCAGAATAAAAATTCATTATTAAGGCCTCAGCAAATTCTTGAGCAAATTCTTCTCGTTTCACAATTATTGATTCACTGCCACATCGTAATGAGCGCACTCTATCCCTATTTTTCTTACAAAATTTGTGTGTTTTTCGAAAAAGGGTTTCAAAAGATATACATTGCTGAGATGAATATACCTGATTCGGACACGCATTTCAGACCCACACAGATCTTTGTAAAGAAAAAATTGATACAGTGCCTACTCAACACCGCTCATGTCACTTACACTCTATCAGTTTGATATGTTACATTCTGCTTCGCAACAGTGAGTTTGCTAACAGTTAGACTGCAGCTAATTATGGGGACTCAATCTAGCTGTATTCACATATTCCGCAAAGGACTACTCACCAGCTGGCACTAGTATCATCACACTGGCTCAGATACAGGATAGCACATCTTCACAGCTTATTCTAGCACGATATACTGTTCAACTACGAATTTGATTCTCAAAGTTTCGATAAATGGCAATCAAATGTGATGGATTGATAAGGACGAATATAACTTAGCTGGCTTTAAGATCCTATTTCTTGAAGAAAGAGTGGTGTCGACGTATAATGAGATAGGGCTGTATGCCTATTATTCCAAGTTACTTTCTTAATTTCATAATTTTTAACAATTTAGCAATAAATTTCGCATCATTTTGTAATCTTTGTATGGGATTCCTAATCAATTCAGGCTCCCAAAGCTAGTAGTTGATTCATCTGCTTAGTTGCTTACATTCGAATACACTGAGGCACTGACATCTCTTACCATCTTTAGCGTAAGAACGCAAAAACGCAATAATAATGTGCTTTCTTAAAAGAAAACTAAGATTCAGCAAGTATCTAGAACAGCTTATCGCTTTTTCCCAAGACAGTTTCCCAGTATAAAGCTGTATAGTTTCGAACCGAAATTTCTCGAACTTGGTGTAAAACTTGAAACCCTGCTTTTAGCAAGACGAACAGTGTCCGCGTCTTCAGTTACCCTAGGAATTGGGCACTGCCAATGAGTTGCCAACTCATGTTTGCTGGCCGAGATTTGCAGATTATGGGACAATTGTTTTACATTTTTTCCCAGTCATTTGTCGTATGATTTTGCACTTTATTTTTTCAAGGTATTGCAAAAATACTTCCAACCTGAAAGAGTTTCTTGCTAAAACTCGGAAATGTGCAAACGAAAGGAGATTTCAGCAGACTCGGCTTCAGTTGTGTTTTTATGGATTGACCAAAATGAGTTTTTAGCTAATCCCTTCAAACAAAATTAGTGGAATATTCAACTACTTTTGCTTACCCAGAATCACAGGGGTTTAACAATAAGGATTCATTGTAGGTACGACTGCGAATCTCTGTTTGTGCGTACCGAAGTCCCCTAGGATTCCAGCTACTGAAGAATTCATTTCTACTGATGTTGTACACAAATCTTCAGCTGTCGGGTCACAGTTGTTGCACTGCTTTGGAATGTGCGAACGTAACTTTAAAAAAATTTGTAATGAACATTTGAGCACCATAATTGTTGCGTTTTATTCACTCGAATTTGAAAATATACGGTGCAATTTACGCAATGCCAGTTCTTCCTTATTTACCGGAAGGATTAACTCATTAGGTAGTCATTCTAATACGCTAAACTATTCAATTTCCAGGTAACTGTTTATTGAATGCGTTCGTCCCAAATTACCAACTAGTAATACAAAGCAAGGTATGACGGTGTAGCAATCGATCATTCGTACATACAAGTTTGAGATCAGCAAAAAACGCATGGAGAGATAAACGCAGAAAGCACACCAGGTAGCTAGAAAGTGTTATGATAGGAAATCGTGCACCTAAGTCAGTCACCGTGTCAAGGCTGTAGCACACTCAAAACAAATATTCACACTAAAGCAAAAATACCAAACCAAAGACATTGACCTAGAGGCCACTAAATTATGTAAAAATATTACTTCATGTGTTGGCATACAAAATAAAATACATGAACATTTGATTATCTGATACTTTAATGCGGTCTCATAACTTGATCTATTCAATGGAAGGTTGCAGATTGTCTCCTTGAATACATTGATTTCGGGAGTCACAAACCCAGAATCGGTTGGAGCATAAAATATGCAGTTAGCTAAATACTACCAACAGACGTAGTTAGTACGAGTTTGTATAAACGCTTGGTCTTTTAAGACCAATTTGTATCTTTAGATAGCCAGTCGCACTTAAAGCCGAAATTCCCTTATAGTTGAAATGTCAACAATTATGACTGCTGTGCCGCTGAACGTTTTTAGAATCACTGTGTTTGTAATTCTTTATGTAATAATAAAGTACGCATATACCCGTCAATAGTAATGAGAAAAAACGAAGTGGTGACCCTTCACAAAATCAAAAAACTATAGCAAAGTATTGCTGAAAGTATTTTATTGAGAATTCTGTCTTTAAGATAAGTCAACCTCAATCTGCTTAATTGGTGTGGGCTTGTAAAATCTACTCCATTTAAGTCTTTCACAAATTCGGGGCAAACTGAACGGATAATGCTGGGAATAAATTTCCTCTCTGTTTGTCCTTCGCACCTCTCCAAGTGTATATTGTTTTATTCCCACTGCAAATTTAGAATCTCTAAGCGAATTTGCAAGTTCTGCGGGGACGGTTTCACAGTGCGGTGGCTAAGACTATACCAACATATGTGGTTGCTCTACTTATCCATATATCTTTTCATGGCGATGACTTCCAGAATTTTGGCTTTTAAGCACGTTTTTTGTTGTAAATGCACCTAGTTCCAACTGCGGCAAAATAAGCGGAAGCAATATAATCACCCTAATGAAACCGTGTATATAATCACCCGAATTTTTTTCCACATTTCGGGTACATTGATGAATGATCGGTTGCGTTTGTCACTCCTGTGTTGACATCGTCTTCCTCCCAACCAGCATTTTGAACGTATAGATGACGTCAGACATACCTGGAAAGACCAGTGAACCAAGATACACCGAGGCGAAAAGTTTAGTCAGTCCGGTAGGTCCGCAAAGGATATTTCAAATTTAGCCATTTGCTTCTCTTTCACTTTTAGAATACACGCCAGACTGCACCGGAAACATGATAAACTTCTAAAGTACGATTCTCCAGGTCATGCAGGTGCCTGAATCAGGAGCATTAAAGCATGTGTTTAAATATAGGATGCAAGGATTTAACATGATTGGCCTGAACTAAGTACCGGAAAAACTTAATGCCTAACTGACTATCCCACGGAACAGCTACGTGTGGGGCAGCCCAAAGTCTTCTGGTCATAGCTTAGCCATGGACTTAGGAACGCTTTCAGTGCTCAGTTCAAGGGAATAGCTACGGTTCAAGTTATAAATCTCTTTGAGCGTCCCTGATAAATGTCTTAATTTGAACAGAGTTTTGGTTGATTCATTACATACAGCAAGACCGTTCACGAAGGATTACAAAGATATCATTCACCTTCGACCTCTATGTTGACCGTTTTCTGGACCCTACTGATTGTTACGCGGCATTATGTTGCGTCTAGTGAGGAGGTTGACTTAAAAAATGTCGGATGTATTATCATAACTTAAACTAACCACAAGGTTGCTGAAAACTCTTCGACAGCCCGCGACCGGTCCCGCCCTTCTTAAGGCTCATCAGGTAGGCGCAGTCCCCGAGTTTCCGTCAACCTTGTGTTCTACTTGAACCTAAATTGGACTGTTTTCGAGAAATACATTCATTTGCAAATCAAGTTGGTTTTCACGAGAGACACAACTGAATCTCTTGTTAATGATATTCTATAACTGAATGTGCTGCACACGGGCCACCTCATATTTCAGTTGGCACGATATTCGAGATATCGCGCGATATTTTCATAAAGGGAACTACTCAGAAGGTTTCTGAAAACCCTTTGACAGCCCACGACCTATTTCGCCAGAGAATGTGGGACAATGTCTCGAGTATGTCGGATGTGCCTCAAACAGCTCCGCAAAGCACTGGAATTCTATTAGCGTAGATTTTTTGTCGGCCTTAGTTTTGTAAATAATCCTCAGCCGAATGCGTTCCAGAATAATTTCATGATAATTTAGACAAATTCGGACACCTCTGAAAGATAGTTTGTTCGATTTGTACCTGTGTGGCTGTAAGGGTTTTCAGCCTTAATCTGGTGCTTGGAGAGCGCTGCAGTTTTACTTATTTCACACCGGTATATTCAAACGCGTTGAACAATCCATTGGAGCTATTGTTTTTGTACCTAATAATCAGGATAATTTTCCATAAGTTTTTATATAGTACAAATTTTAGTTTACTTCCATCAATCTACTGCGGATGAACTTACTATCCACTCGTAGTGTGATTCATATAGAATACAAAGGATTTAGCTAAGGCTGTTTCCTTATTGGATGGCGTTTATCAATGAACCAATGACCATTGACAGAAATCGAAGTTAGCGAGCTTTTCCCCAGTTGTAGATCAAGACTTCGTTTGCATCAAAATCCCACTTCCCTCTCTCATAACTAATGTCCACGTATAGTCTCGACAGTTCAGGTAACCTCAGACAAACGTGACTACCGGCTTTCGCTCTGATTTCTCTGCGTATTTCTGTGTGAGCGCATGACCATTCTTAGAAAGGCGACACTGAAATTCCGTCTGTAGCGACCCTTCTTCATCTGACTTTACAATACGTTGTGGCTAAAATAGGACGTCAATTGGAAATTCTGTAGGGGAGTCCTGTTTGTGAATGAGTATAGCTTTCTACATTCCTGTGTATGTGACCAACTGACCTATCCATCTCGTTAGAAGTCATCATCAAAGTTTATGTTTCATAACCGAAAGGCTACCTCATATGATATGGGCTCAACTGATAATGTTTCTGTTTGTTTGTACGATGGCCGTTGTGTTCACTAATTCCTATCATTTACCAGCAACTCTCACCTGGGACGAAAAAATTTCATACCTATTCCAGGTTTATTTGTTCTAACTTTTGCCATTTCTTCATGAAAAATAGTGAGTTACCTCAAGTGGTTAACGATAATGCCCTCACAAAACCTATGGCGAAGATTTTTTTTAAAAAAAATGCGATTTTCAATCGACCAACTTACGGCCGCAACTCTGTTGGAGATCTTCCCGGGATTGCCCTTTTTATCCGTCGACTTGACCGCTGGTTCGGGTCATTGGCATCCGCATTTTGAGATGAAGCCGTTTTGTCATTCTTGGATGAATCACAATGTTGTCGGCCAGCAGCAGTTCGCAATTTACGCGCCCACATAACCCCATGTTTGAGTACGTTCCATTTCCGATGAGTAGATTTTGAAGACGTCGCTTGTTTAACTGGGCTATCCATTTCAGCATTCATATAATCCTTCCGTTGCTCGTTCCCTCCAGCTAAACTGCCCGGTATGCAGGTGTTAATCGCACAGTGATAAGCTGGCACGTATCCATTTTCAAGATCATACATAGATTTATCTATACTGATTCATTTTTGGCCCGTATATTTGCGCAGTGGGCAGCGGATCGATGACCGTGCGTAGACCAGTCAGATGTGGCAATCGCGGCACACGACACACAGGACATGCCTTCCAGCCTCAGACAGGCGCGTGTAAGTTGCGCGTCACAGTGGGACTCTTCTTCGCCCTGGCACTCTGATCTACCGAATGAAGATCCCCCCACGATCTCGCTGTCCCCAGACTGTCAGACACATTCGCGGAAGAATCTACGGCCAGCTTCGTTTCGTGAAATTATAGCTACCGATGTGGATATATTTAAGTGGTGACTGACATTTCCCACTCGATTCTGTGTCTGAAAAACTCCGGGAAGACGAAAAAAGTATGTCTGATGTTTCGCCTACTGTTAATCGGGGTCATAATATCATAAAGATGGCAAGTAAAATGTCAAGAACACGATTTCTTAATATACTACAAGGTCCTTTCATTCCAGAAGAAAAAACGATAAAACTGGTAAATCCGAAGTGAAGAAAATCCCTTACAAAACTCTAAAGTAGTCAAGTTCCGTTCTTCATATAATTCCAAAATTTTATAAACCATATCTGGATCAGATCTGGATCAGATGGCGTGAATTCAAGGTCAAGGATAAAGTGCTCTAAGTTGTGAATGAAACCGAGATTTCATGCCGTAACTTTCAACCAGTAAAAGTCCTTCGGAATCGAAACCAGAGGAGGAGACTACCTCTTGACATTTATGTATGTATTCGTACCCAGATTCTTGTAGACGAGGGATCCAAAACTCAATCCTAGAACGAATTATGGCTGATTCTCATAAAGGAAACAAATCACCAGGTCGCTGAAAACTCTTCGGCAGCCCACGACCGGTTTCGTCCTTCTTGTGGCTCATCAGGTAGGCGCAGTCCACGATTTTCCGTCAACCTCATGTTCTACTTGACTCTGTTGTCACTTATCTATATAGACAAGACTAGCCGTCACGCTAAACTCATAGGCAAAGTCATGGGTTTTGCCAAGGCATAGTATTCTGGTTTTTCCTCCGGACTGATCTACAATGCTACCGGAGGTCTTTACAAACAAACATTTTAGCATACAAAAATCATTTTGTGAGCCTCAAAATTATTTGTGTGGCGAAATTACTCGCCGTCTTGCAGCAGGAGAGTAGTAGTTTTGAGGTCATTTCTATTCAGAATTGCATTGTTCGTTGTACGGATCGAGTCAAGTTTACGAAGACGGGGAGAAACTTCTGTGTCCTAAATTGTACGTAGCCGATTGGAGTTTTGTGCAACCAGCCAAAGAACCCTAGCTGTGCACCTAACCACCCTGAAATTTCTGTGAAAGCACTTTTTTGTTACTCTTCTTTGGAATTTTGTTGGAACATTTTTCCAAAAAGGAAATCCTCGGGGTAAAAATTTGAAGCTTGTGATTGCATTGTTTTTGAGAAAGGTAGTCGATCAATGCACCAGTCACCATCAGAAGTAGGAGAGTCTATTTTGAGAAATTCAGGCTTAGTAGATGTGATCCTCAAAACAGGCCTGTACGACTTGCCCGTCTGCTGGGCTGATGGACACTGGAAAATACCAGAATGCAACGAAAGGGCTTCATGGTCGAAGTCTTTAGACCAATTCATCATAGAAAGTAGTGAGAAAGTGGTTGAAAGCCGACCAGAACATAGGCAAGAAAAGTCTACTACAATTTAGTATTGATCTAGGGAAACGAGCGGGGCGCTAGAATATATCAGTGCAATGTTTCCCGTAAAGCGAAAGTGCGACGTTGCAGGAGACTTCATCCGAAATACCCCTGTGTGAAAACCAAACCACCGCAGTTCGTTTTCCATCTTTTATTTTTCCCCATAAAAGTTTCAAAGTCACAGATTCAGCGTCACAGAAAATGCGCCTTGCCTTTTTTACTGTTTTCAATATATGCAAGGTGAGAAAAAAATTTTATTGCTTTGCCTGAAAATAGTGACATATTTTCTGTATCACTGATTTCAAGTTTTAGCCCGCTTTCTTCGAAAAACTAAGTCATAAAGGATGGAATTCTGACTTCCCATTCCACCACACACAGCAAATGACTATTGAGCAACGCTGGTCCCTCATTTTTAAATGTGTTTGAACTGTTCTGGTGGTTAGGGTCAGTCCACAGGCGATCGGAGTGTGTGGTTCTTTGGATCGATCTTTTCAAACGCTCCTCTTTATGGACTATGCACTTTGTTAAGTCCAAACCTGAACAATGTTCATTTGGGAAGAAGCCCATTCAAAGGTGTTCCGTTTGCTGAACTAATTACCAGAAGGTTTAGAAACACTCTTGACGCGACATACATGGCCACCTATCGGCGTCTGAGCTCAGTTCCAGCTCCATTATCCGTTTCCCATTTAAATGACAAATTGCCACGTTCTACCGCCAGCTTTTGTGTGAACTCATTTGTATGCTCGTACGTTGATCATACGACAAGATAGTTGTTGGACGGAACGCGAGAACATAATCTCATGTCTCTGAGTGGTAGTTGGAAGAAATCAGATTCAACTGTAATTGTATCATATTTGGCAAGGGTAAGCCTCCATTATCATATGCCGGGTACCTATGGACCGATCACGACTGGTACAATCCAGACTATTATCGATGGCCGAGGCGACTGGAATCTGCCTACTGGACCTTTCATCTAAATGAAACTTGTGTGACCTCTGAACTTGAGCTGGCCCGCAAACAACCCGGTCCCACAAGCCTGCTTGATATTGACGTCACTCGCTTCGTCTCATGACACTTGACCTATCCCCAGATCCCTCCTTTGATATTTATCTCTCTAAAGTGTATATACCCCAGATTCTAACCTTTTACACGTGATTTCTGGAATCATACAAATTTGTGACGTATTGGCCCAGAGGAACAATCACAGAAAACAAGCCTTATTCGCCATCTTCGTTCTTTTCATAAATTCCACTGGCAACTCAAAGCACCCTGCGTGCTAAAGAAACTTCGGAATTATCTGAGGTACAGTGTGTAACTTGCAGAGGCCAGGGCAAAGCTGCGTGTTCGCAAACAGTCTATGGAGCAGAATCAGTTTCCAACGCGTTGTCCACGAATACAAAGTATTTATGGGCTTAGATTAGCCAAACGATTATGTACGGCACATTGTATTCGGCCTTCCTCCCATGTAAACCGGGTATTTCAATCTCATTCTTTGTTGTACACATCATATCTTAAACGAGCTACTTTGTAGAATTTCTAGACTATTTTGGTTGCTTTGGTCAGCTGACATTTATATTTTATTGATTTTCTTAACATCTCAGCTGCTTTTGGTAGCAAAAAAGTTCCGTTGAGCGATATCCCCCGAAAAACCTTATCTTATGCCTAATTCAGGCTGATTCAGTCTTGAAACCGTCCAAGAAATGTTCTTAGCACGCTAAACAAGCAGTCTTGGAGGCATGAGCATGCAGCAAGGCAGAGACAGGTGGGTCCAAAATGTTAAACATATGAAGGGACCTCATTTGGACGAAGAGGATACAGGTTGACGGAAACCCGGGGACTGCGCCTACCTGATGAGCCCCAAGAAGGGCGAAACCGGTCGTGGACTGTCGATGAAATTTCAGCGACCTTATGAGTAGTACATTACAAAATTTGTTTTGTTTCTTCTCATAAAGGGAACGACTCACAAAGTTGCTGAAAACTTGTCGACAGCCCACAACCAATTCCCCTCTTCTTGGGGCTCATCAGGTAGGCGCAATCTCCGAGTTTCCGTCAACCTTATATTTTACTTGAATCCAAATTTGACTGTTTCCAAGTAATACACTCATTTGCAAATCAATATGTTTTTCACGAGAGACTCAAATTAATCTCTCGTTTACGATATTCTAAGGACTCTAAGGACTTCCTTGTTTGGAGGTTCGTTTCTGCCGTCTGATGATGTCATGAATAGAAAGACAGAATTTTTTAATGAAACCGTAGCAAAAACGGTGCCATAAAATCATCCATTCACATGAACCAGCAAACTTCAGAAACCCAAAAAAGTGGGAAATGCTCTCCTAGATGAAGTCACCTTGTGAAGCGATGCAAATTTTGACCCCAGCTCCCAACGAGGAAGCATTTTAAAAGAAACTTGGCAGTAATAAACTAAACTGCGTTGTTTACATCCCACTGATACTGACAAATCCTAAACACGGTTCTCTATGCTGCAGTATAGATGTTAGTTGAATTGGGGTTAAAATTATCTTCGTTTTTTGTTTGAGAGTTTATATTTTTCTTTCTTGGAACTTGTCCTTTTGAATTTCGCCCAGATAAACATTTTATGCTACTTCGACAGTGAACACGATATCAGTGACAAGTCTTTTTGGAAGAAAGGGATCATTTTAGAGGTCAAATTCTCTGGTTCTTTGGCGGTTGACTAACTGACCGACAAGCCCTCTGGTGGGAGAATAAAATGAGACAAATATGACCCGAGATCGGTACAAATGCTCTGACACTCACGTACCGAATATACCTGCTGGTTGAGCTCCCTTGCGAAGACTGGATAGTGTACTTATCTGCTCCACCAGTTTTCTTTCGGACCAGTTGAACTGCTCTTGGGTAATAATCAATATGATTTGGGCTACCGACATTCGCTGTTGAGAAACGCTGCACTTCCCACCTTTTGTAACGAGTTACAGTAGTAGTACTCTCACTTCTCCGGTAGAGATCTATCTTATGAAACATCCCGATGAGGAAACGTCGAGGTTTCGTACATGCCTGTTTCAGTGCCTTTCTCTATGCGGACATCATTTCGTATCTGATGGAAGTGCTTCGGTTAGCTCTTTATTCATTATTAAACACCTTATCAGACGTTTGTACCTCACAACCACTAACCCACCGCTACGCACAACTACGCTCCCCAATAGCGCACTGATGATGTCACCTCGATTGGTGATGAAACGTTTGCGATCAAATTGCCCAGCTCAGCGAACAAGCCAACGACCATCTACCCTACCTGAGCTACCAACGTTTTCCCCCATGGAAAAGCCTATTTT